ACGTCTATGATATGCTCCCATCTTGCATTTTCCCTCCGATCACACAGGAAGCATGTCATGCACAACAGCAGGACACACAACACGGACATATGCCGATGCACAAGGAACTGAAAATGAAGGCACAAATAGAAAACGGCAGGTACGCGTCCACATATGTATATAGCATGAAAGGTTGACGTGCCAAAAAAAAAAAAGAAAAAAAAAAAAAGGTTGACGTGTTGGGTGTACGCCGTGTCACTGTGGCCATTCGATATAAAATACATCAGAATCGTGGTAGTTATAGGGAGTGCCGCACACAAAAAAATGTGTGAACGATATATAGCTGGGATTAATAGGGAGGACAAACTTTGATGGACATATTGGTCCGTCGTATCTGATAAGTTGGGATAATTGGTGGAGCGCGGACACCTTTTTTGGTTCAAGGAGCCCAAAGTTAGGCCGTTTGGTACGACAAGGCTAAACTTGGCTCGTGGGAGTCGCGGGCCCAGAATGGGCATGAGACGATATTTTGCCACGGAGGGCGTGAACTTGGCTCGTGGGAGTCGCAGGCCTAAACTTGGCTTGTGGGAGTCGCGGGCACCACCACGAACAACCGTGGGGTTGCCCTAAACTGCCCCACCCCCACCCCTACCCCTACCCCCAATCCTCACCTTCACCCAACCCACGCGTGGGAATTGGGTCCGAAAAACAAACGGCCACAATCTTTGCAGACATTCGATCGAACAGGCGCCGTGACAGACCGAGCAAATCTGCCTCATGCGCCCGCGCGCTCATGCACACACAGATGCACATGGACACAAGGGACGCCCCGATTCGCACTAGAGCGATCCATGATGACAAGCACACACGCAATCCACACTGACAGATTCTCTGCGAAGAAAAGAAATCACAGACAGAAGGCTGTCCACGAACAGCACGGCCCACCCTTTCCAATTCGGTCACATAAGCGTGTTATTAGCTACGACCCATTTTCGTCGGTAGCTACCAACACAAAACGGAAACGGATGGGAAACGCGCTGTCCAATCGCGACGCCAGTTTCCACACAGCCGACACATCATTTCGGCACATTTTCGCGGCAACCTAGATTGAAAAATCCATCGACGGACTCCGCCTATCGCCCGCGCCACACACAAAGAAAAACTACAACAACACGGTTAGACAGTGGGACCCGACCCTGGGCCTTCCCTTGGCCGACCAGCCTGAGGCTGCGGCGCGTATACGGGAAGGCCCGCGGCCAAACACTGAGCGAGGTACTGGTGGTTTAATAAGCCTTGTTGCATAGGTCCCTCGGTTCTGGTTTTAATAAGCCTTGTTGCACAGGTCTGGTTAGTTAGGGATATAGGGTCAATACCCTAGTTTTTTGGAAAGATTTGCCTTGTGGGAATGGGAGACTGGACCCGGTTTTCGGCACTACCAAAGCCTAAAGCTGGGTAATGGCCCCAGATTTTTCCGGCCTCGTATTTTCCATGGAAATGAACCGTTCATCCATCGAGATTGAACTGCTTTTCTGCATCTCGCCTCCAGATTCAGGAGCTTGCTCCAATCCTCTCTTTGCTACCGGTAGTGTCACCTCGGCCCTGAGAAGATTACAGCCATTCTGCTGCCACGTCGGAAAATGCTAGAAAACTCTACGCTGGAGAGATGCTACCGGCAGCGAGACAGATCGTCGGTGGTGGTGGGACTATGCCAGTCACTGGTCCGGACACGAGGAAGTGTTGTTTTTTTTTTTTTTTTTGGGCCGCGGGAAAGTTCTACACGCCGCCAGGCGGGAAAGTTCTCCACGGGCAACCACCGCCATTGTTTTATTATTATTATTATTATTATTATTTATTATAATATAATAATAATAATAATAATAATAATAATTATTATTATTATTATTTTGAGAACCACCGCCATTTTTTCGACACGCCGCCATTCTTTTGTTCTCGGCCCTCTCCGCCCACCACCCGGGGCTAGGTCCCACTTACACGAATAAAGCGATATTGACCGTAGATAGCAAAGATCAACGTCCAGAATCTCTTAATCCGTGCAAGTGGGACCTTGCCCCCGGTGAGTGTCTTCTCTGCACCGCCGCCGGTGGGGCTGTGCGGTCCTCCTTAGCTGCTATCAGTAGCTGTTGGAGTGCGCAGTCATCACTTGTGTGTGTTTGTGTGTGTGTGTGTGTGTGTGTGAGTGTGAAAGCGATTCTGTCACACGGAGGGGTGTGAGCGGGGCGAAGGGACGTGGACGTGGAGGGGTGGAGTTCACTTCGTGTTTGTGCGACACAAGTGTCGCACAGAAGAAGTGTTCCACACACCTCGATTGACTGGCGGGAAGAGTGTGTTGGAAGTAGGGAGTGAGAGGTGGGTGGCGGGAAAAGTGTGTGTGACACACAGGGGTGAGGGCTGCTGGGTGGCGGGAAAATTGTGTGACAGAGAGAGTGAGTGGTGATTGGGTCCTCGATGTCGGCCACGTCGATCGCTGGCCAGGTGTCAATGGCGGCGGCGCCGGCGGCGGTGTCATCGCCCGCCTGTTCTTCCATGCCACGTCAGCAGCTGTCGTCTTCTTCGCAGAGATGGGAATCGTCGTCCACGTCAGCCTATTGCCGCCGTCTTCCATGTCATTTCGCGGCAAAAGCTGGGAGCGAGAGGGCAGGCGCAGGAACGAGTCTATGCTGTCCCCCTCCTTCTTCAGGGCGAGAGCTTAAGGTAGCAGTTATGGCCGCCGGCGGGCTGTTAGACGTAAGACGCTCGCGCGCGGGGAAAGGATCCTGTGCTTCCAGGATTTGCCACGTGGCCGTCTCCCTCAACTCCCTCTCGAAGAAGTCGGCCATTTTTCGGGATTGGAGGAGAGATCAGCGAAGGAATGCTCAACGAACCTTCAGGGTCGGATCCTCGGTGGTGTCGGAGCAGACAGCACAGGTGGGTGGGTGCACTACTGGGATTTACTACTAATATGTATGTAATTATTAATGCAAAATATTCTGATAAAAATAAATAAATAAATAAATAAATAAATAAATAAACAAATTAGTCCATTATTACACGAGTCAACTCCGCACAGTTCCTCATCTGATGTATGAGCAGAGGAGCTTGATGAGGAGTTTTTTGACACGTGTCTGCTGCTGACGTGGCCCCGCCTACTTGCTCGTGTGTTTCGAAGTGCGGGTGTGATGAAGATAGCGCAGAAGTCGGCTTTTTAATCAAGTTTTGCAAAAAAAAAAAAAAAAAAAAAAAAAAAGATAGCTCAGAAGACGACAATCCAGTTCATGTGAAAAATTTCACCGCCAATATGGAGAACAATATTCATCAATATTATTAATATTATTAATATTATTAATATTAAAACAAGTAATAAAAACAATGTTCACCAATATGAATATGTATTACAGTAATAATAAGAACAATATTCACAAATATTAATATTAATAATAAGTATGGTAAATGATGATGATTCGAATAACAAAATACTTATAATAATATAATAGTAAAATAAAGGGATAATTTGCGAAATACACCCATCAGTTGAGATATATGGCAAAATGCCCCTGAAAGATGTGGGTAGAGCGGAATGCCATCTTGGGCCGAAATCTTTCTGTTATGCCCCTGTCAGGCGGGTGTGCAAATTTGCAATCTGGACCTCGCCGTTTGGGCATGGCCTTTTGCAACTGACCCTTAGCAAAGTTGCCAAGTTCTGGGCATTTTACAAAATTGGATGGTACCCGGTAGGGGTTAATCACAAAGATGGGGGGTCCAACCGACGCGAGGGGTATTTCACAAATTTTTCTTTTGGTCAGAGGGGCATTCCGGTCTACCCACATGTTTCAGGGGCATTTGGCACATATTTCAACTTATGGGGGGGTATTTTGCAAATTATCCCTAAAATAATAGAGTACTACAAATATTAAATACTACTGATAAATATACTAATAATACTGCCAATACGTCCTTAGTCGAATATGCACCAATATGAATATTAATCAATTTACCAATATTTATATTAATATTAATGGTTTATGACAATGATTCTAATATTAGACTAGTAACAAATTGCGAATAATGAAATATAGTAAATACTAATAGTAGAGACTCGCACTCTAGCTTTTTTTTTTTTTTTTTTTTTCGAAACTGGAACCTTTGTTTTTAACGTATAAATAATTTCCCAGTTACCTTCCGATGTCTTTTGCAGTGTTTTGTGGTGGATAATTTATTATTATTTAATAATTAATAGTAATTAATAATAATGGTATTGCTGAAGAAGGTAATCATCCATTTGAAGGATCAATTAATGATTCTAATGTTGCATACTTTCTCAAAGTACAACCACGGCATAACTTTTTCTACTGAATTTGCCCCCAATTACAGTTTTAACATCCGCTTGGAAGTCCCATTGCGAAAATGCCCTTAGTCACATCACAACAAGAAGAGTGGATTTTTTTTTTTTTTTTTTGGTGGTCCTTACGCGGACGTGTTCTCTCTTCTCCCTCTCTTCGCTGACGGCGTATATTCACCCCTGCACTTTTTGGACTCAGCTGTGGACGTAATTGCGGTCAGATACCTACAGGTCTGGCTGTAATTGCGGGCAGATGCATTCAATTCAATAATGTTCTAATGTGAGGATATGCGAAGTTGGAGTGTGGTCCCCGCCTGCGAGCAATAAATAGCCGCTTGTGTCCTCTCTGTTGATTTATTTATTAAATTTTCATTATTTTATTAAATTATTTAACTATTCAATTATTGTTATTAATTTCTAAGTTATTCTTATGTCTATCGAATTCATGTCTATTTTTGTCTTATTATTTTTAGATGTTTTTGTTTTTTGAAAGATCCTCTGTTTAGCATCTCTGTCGAATTCTTGTTTAATATGTTAATATTGGTACTTTTTTTTTTTTTTTTTTTTTTGACAGAGCGACGGGCCAATCGAGCTAGGGCCGTTTGTATATATTCATTTTGAAATAAATATATTTATTCAAACGGTGCTAGCTCGATTGGTACGCCCGTGTTATTATTGGTACATTTATTTTATTATGTTATTACTGGTACATTTATTATGTTATTGGTACATTTATTTTATTATTTTTATTATTGGTACATTTATTTTATTATGTTATTACTGGTACATTTATTATGTTATTGGTACATTTATTTTATTATGCCTGTCTCTTATACACATCTAGATGTGTATAAGAGACAGAGCTAGGGCCGTTTGTATATATTCATTTTGAAATAAATATATTTATTCAAACGGTGCTAGCTCGATTGGTACGCCCGTGTTATTATTGGTACATTTATTTTATTATGTTATTACTGGTACATTTATTATGTTATTGGTACATTTATTTTATTATGTTTTATCATTAGTACATTTCTTTTATTATGTTATTATTAGTACTTCTATTTTTCCTTTTTCCTTTTTTTTTTTTTTGAAAGAACGACGGGCTTGAGATATTTTCAAAGCCCGGGTGATTCAGAAGCGATTTTTCACAGACAATGGATTTCAAAATCCATCTCTTTTTTTTATTTATTTTTTATTTATTTTTTATTTTTAAGACCATGAACTTCATTTATCCAAAGAATGTCATGGAGGCCGGGGACATCACAATTCAACCCGGAGTTATCCTGACAGCATCAGTCAGTTTAGCTTTCATCATCATTCGGAGCAGAAAAAAGATCCCTCTCATTTAAGATTTCCACAGGACTTCAGTATGTACCAAAAACGAACCTAGCTAAAACTAACTTGTTCCAATCTGTCCTAATACTACTGAATGACCTATCCTACCCTATCCCCTAATACACAGACCTAGCAAAACGAAGGTCTGAACGCGGCCTAATAATGACCACGAGGAACAGATGTGTTCCATTCCCACCCCTGGCACTCTCCCTGCCCTTCCTACCCTTTTGCGGTCTACTGCGGCCGCCGACCGAAACCGAGTGCACCTGGTTTTTACTACTAACTACCCAAAAATCACCTACTCCCCTACTCCACCCATGTGCTTACGGTCGATCCAGTTCCCCATGACCAACTTCCCTTCTGAGGAAATGTCTGCCAACCCCAACCCCCAGGTTTTCTGAAACCAGTTACGCCCTTCCTGCCTGTCTCCCTGTACCACTCGGCGTGTCCAGTCTGCTTGTACTGCAGTTGCCAACAGTGAGATGAAGGTTGCCAACAGTGAGATGAAGGTTGCTTCAAAATCCATCTCGTTTCACGTGCATTTCATTCATCTCGTTTCACGTCTTTTTTTTTTTTTTTTTCTTGACCCTCTTCCCTCTCGCCCTTTTTTCCTCTGTCGTCCTCTTTCCTCTTTCGTCCTCTTTCGGGACATGACGACATTGGTAATGCTTTTTTTTTTTTTTTAATTACAATATAATTATCAGTCGGGACCGCTGACCGCCAAGCCATTTTCGCTGTCATGCACTTTTCTTTTTTTAAAGCAATGAACAACTTTTATAAAAGCTGGGAACCGGGCCCAGCGTCCCTCACAAGAGTGCTGCAGCTATCGAGCTGAGCAAGGCTCTGCACTTTTCTTGTTTCGCCTTCTGTTTGAAAATGACCCTTTTTTTTTTTTTTTTTTTTTTTTTGCGAGTAATTAATCTGGATCGCTAGTAGCCTACCGTAGCCTCCCTCCTTGGTCTTGATACCATCCTCACTCTGCGGACCATCTCTGTTTCCTTTTCGTTGCTTAACAGATCATAGGACTTCAAATCCCTCGCCGTTGTTACTTGTCGTACCATTCCTTGCGCCCTCTCTCCATCCTTCTTTTGTAATCATAAGTCTTTTCAACACCTCCTCTCGCTTCTCTCTCTCTCCCCTCCTCCTCATTTCCCCCCTCCGCCCTGAACGGCCTTGAGGCATGTTCATTTAGCTGACCGGCCCGTCACAATTTCATCGGGATTTGAACTAGGGTCTTTAAATTAACACTCCATGGGTGTACCGACTGAGCTAGACCCGTTAAACTTCCCGCGCTTTTGTTTCCGCGCTTTCTTCCCGCGCTTTTAGCTTTGAGAGTATTCCCTACTTCTCCTCCTCTCCTCTCGCACCCTTTATTTCTCCTTACTCCAACCTATCACCCGGCCCCACCTCCCCTGTCTCGTTTTTTTCCTGCCTTTTTTTCTTGTCGCTGTTCGCCTTATCGTTCAGTTTTTTTTTTGTTAAATCTCGCTCTCGGTGGACCCTTAGCGTATCTTTCACTGCTGTTTCCCCGGCCCCCCCCCCCCCC